GCCTGGGGCTTGGAGGTGTTCTGGTATGGTCTTCTGAACGACCGAGCGTTCTTCCATTGCTCTTGATGATGGGGACGAGGAGAGCGTGGTCCATTATAAAGAGCTTTTGATTTTTCTACACGTTCTTGGTTATTCTTTTCGAACAAATCCAGCTATTTACAAATTTCAAGAATTTCATTGGTATTTTAGGAGGGTTTAGGTGAAGAGCAAAAGAGTATTCTTTCTTTAACCCTCCAATAACCCAGTTTATTTTAGTCTCTTCTTCCATTTGGGTGTCGACCTTGTTGCACAGTACAAGGATATCCTCTGCGAACCTGATTGCAGGTTCATTCCACTGTTGCATCCTGTTTAATCACATCCTCATTTCTTCTTTGTTGGCGTCTGAGGCAAAATCCTCAATTAGGCGGCTCTTGAAATTTTCCCAGCTGGTGAAACTTATCTTGTGTAGGTTCAGCCAGGTTTTGGCGCTACCAATCATATTCATGGCAGAATACCGGGAGATAATGTAGTCTGCCCAATGGTACAGGAAGCCAATTTCTTCAAGAGATTCAATCCATGGGCGAGGGTCTTCTGTTCCATCATACTTGGGGATGTCGATGTTGGGATTCAGGACAACTGGGTCGGAACTAGCATCTCTACCAATTGTTGCACCAGGTTGCGGCTTGGCAGACTCTTCAGCCTTGATTCTCTCCTGTGCTGGGTCTTGCATCTTACCAGAGCGTGTTTCAACCCCTAAAATTTTGTATAAGGGAATAATGAGATAACTCTACTTTAAGTAGCCTCCAGGATAATTTATTTATTTCTCACATTAAAGAGAGCAGTGAAGTCACACAGTTTACCTAAATACAAATGATGATTCTATAATACATATATTCTGTTTATAATACATATATTCGGTTTAATAAAATAATTAAATATTAAATATAATTTCGAATTTAAAATATATGAAAAATAATATTACAAATTAAAACAAAATAGGTTCATTAGCCATGATGCATCAATTGTAATAAATATTTTTTTGTGAATCAGGGTGGCATCTGTTGTGCATATGGCAGCTTACTGGTGGCAGTGATGCGAATCGAAAAAAAAGGTGTCTGCAGCCATCTTATTGCTGGTGGTGGTAATATCGTTTGGAAGATATCCTTATGCTCTCTGGATGGAAGGCTGGGACATGGCAGCCTGGCAGGTACGTACAAGGCACTCATTAACCTGATATTCTATTCTTGAATGCCAAAAAGATAAACTAAATAGCCCACTCGCCGTTCAGAGGAGATTAATAGAATCGCGGAATGTGGTGGGCCATTTGGATGAGGAAAGCGAAGACTAAAACGCGGCTGATTCCACACTCACCTTTTCAGTGATACGCTAACCTATGCACGATGGATTCTGTGGCTACTGTGAATGCGTCGGATCAGGAGGCTGTTGTGTTCTGCGCTGCTTGGAGTATAAGAGCTCCATCTATGCCTTCTTCCTGTGGTGAATCTGCATGAGACCTGTGGTCTAAATAAAACTGGGTGTGTGATAAGCAGAATAGCAAAATTCAATAATAGACCGATTTGGTTTGATTAAACTCGTGAAAATCTTTGAATCGTTCACCACTTATGTGCCAGGTCATCCTATTATTTTTCATCGCAGTAAAGATCGTAGGAAACTATTTTATTTGAAAAATAAAAAATCCCGCTAAAATAGTATCATTACTTATACAGATCATGCTGGCTAGGTATGGAGCTTTCAACTAGCTGTAGATAAAAAATATCAACATTTAAAGTATTAATGATTATCAAATATATCGCCTCTAGTCGAAGCTAAGTTTGAATAAGTACTTTTTAGTATCGATGGGAGTTAAGTACACTAGAACTGGGTTGGTGTGACACCAGGCTGTATCAAACGAGAGAGAGAATTCCCATAAATAAGATTTTAATAGACATTAAATGATTTATAAACAAAAAATATTCATTCACTGAAGTAGAGATTGTCAATACCTATAAAATTCAATCAATCTTTTTGCCAGGTTTTCAATTTTTTGACGCTAGCATTATCTGGGTTTGGAGTAAAAAAATGTCACGACAGACAATTTCGAAATCTTGGAATGTTTCCAAGTATCTTCCCCCTATAAATGTAGCCCTGGACCGAAATAATGCATAACCAGATGGGACAATTCCGGGCTATAAACAGGGTGAGGTAGAAATTAAATACTCCCCAAATCCTTTATTCTATTCATTGTTAACCTAGCTCGATGAGCTGGAATGTTGTCATCTAGCAGGAGTACTCTCCTTCGGTTGATCAAAGCAGGGTATCGAGTCTTCAAAACTTCATATACTTGGCTGAGTTGTACTGAGAAGAGTTCTGCATTAACTGAATGACCATCAAGAACAAGATCGTAGTGCACAATACCATCAATGTTCAACCATATAGACAACATTACTTTGTGGACAAAGTGATCCTGTTTAACTACAGGTTCAGCCTCTTGCACTGATTGTCTTCCTTTGTAGAGGTTACGAAGATAGATCCACTTTTCATCCCAGGTTACAATCCGCTTCCAAAACCGAAGATCTTGCGGATTTTCTATCAATCGCTTACAGATATCGACTCGCCTCTGGGACTAGGCTAAATTCTGGTCGTGGGGATATTGGGCGTTACTAACAGAGTGTATCTTGTGCAGAATTTGGTTGATCGAATCTTTGAATTATCCAAATCTGGCTGACATCTTACGTGTATATCGTTGTGGGTTAATCATCACCAGAAATCGTAGGGTCTCAATATCCATCATATGTGGTCGTTCTTTTCGAGGTTTGTCCTCCCAGTCTTCTATTGAATAATTCTTTCCCTCCCACTTCGCATATTTCTTTTGAGCCATATTTGCATTTAGCCCCTTTTCCCAAAAGAATCGCATTAGTACTCGAATCTTTATTTTTTGATCACACGTTGTTTAGCTCTATAATAGAGAATACTGAAATGTTATTGTAGACTCATTATGCCATCTAGATCACGTGGGCACGCTCATTGAATTTGTTTAAATTGATTGAACAGAGAAATAATTGATGTATTAATTGTTAACTATATTTCAGCTCTCGTCATGTGTCGCTTTGTATTTAAATATTTATAATAATCCTGTTTGAGAGGAATAATGAATTTCAACATGTCAATCCTATTTTCCTCTTTTCTCTGCCTAGGATAGTAAAGGCTAGTCAATATTTTACAGATATAGTGTTATTATGTTTAATATAAAGAGTATCTAGAATTTGTATTGAATTCCAATGTATAATGTCTCTTCTTCTATCTAAAGCTTTGCTATAACAGCTTGATATGTCTCTAACCAGGCCATCCAGAGACCAACCAGGCTCCTATCTGTGATGACGCGCTGATTATCCACTGCATCAAGGGTCTGGGCAACCAAATGGAGACTTACGCCACGTTGTTGGGACTGGACCACTTCAACCCTACAGCACACCCTAGGCCTTCCACTGCAACTATGAAAAACTCGAACCTTACTTCAAGATCACGCCAGTGGATATCATATCCATAATTGTAAAACGAAATTTGCAATTATACCGCGAATCTTTCTTTTTAAACAAAAATCGAAATCTATTTTTTAAAGAGAAATAACGATTATTTCTAACTTTAAGGATGAAGTATGATAGGATGAATTGTGAAGAGTAATGACAAACGGAAAAATAAAAGTGTCCAGGGGCGGGAATCGAACCCACAACCTTCTGCTTACCGGGCAGGTGCCATGTCCACTAGGCTACCCTGGACGTATTTTTCCGTTCGTAAATAATATTTAAAGTAACTTATAATACATTTAAAATACAATATAGCACGGCCGATGATTGTAAAACGAAATTTGCAATTATACCGCGAATGTTTCTTTTTAAACAAAAATCGAAATCTATTTTTTAAAGAGAAATAACGATTATTTCTAACTTTAAGGATGAAGTATGATAGGATGAATTGTGAAGAGTAATGACAAACGGAAAAATAAAAGTGTCCAGGGGGCGGGAATCGAACCCACAACCTTCTGCTTACCGGGCAGGTGCCATGTCCACTAGGCTACCCTGGACGTATTTTTCCGTTCGTAAATAATATTTAAAGTAACTTATAATACATTTAAAACACCTGCCCGGTAAGCAGAAGGTTGTGGGTTCGATTCCCGCCCCTGGACACTTTTATTTTTCCGTTTGTCATTACTCTTCACAATTCATCCTATCATACTTCATCCTTAAAGTTAGAAATAATCGTTATTTCTCTTTAAAAATAGATATCGATTTTTGTTTAAAAAGAAACATTCGCGGTATAATTGCAAATTTCGTTTTACAATCATCGGCCGTGTTATATTGTATTTTAAATGTATTATAAGTTACTTTAAATATTATTTACGAACGGAAAAATACGTCCAGGGTAGCCTAGTGGACATGGCACCTGCCCGGTAAGCAGAAGGTTGTGGGTTCGATTCCCGCCCCTGGACACTTTTATTTTTCCGTTTGTCATTGCTCTTCACAATTCATCCTATCATACTTCATCCTTAAAGTTAGAAATAATCGTTATTTCTCTTTAAAAAATAGATTTCGATTTTTGTTTAAAAAGAAACATTCGCGGTATAATTGCAAATTTCGTTTTACAATCATCGGCCGTGTTATATTGTATTTTAAATGTATTATAAGTTACTTTAAATATTATTTACGAACGGAAAAATACGTCCAGGGTAGCCTAGTGGACATGGCACCTGCCCGGTAAGCAGAAGGTTGTGGGTTCGATTCCCGCCCCTGGACACTTTTATTTTTCCGTTTGTCATTACTCTTCATAATTCAGCCTATCATACTTCATCCTTAAAGTTAGAAATAATCGTTATTTCTCTTTAAAAAATAGATTTCGATTTTTGTTTAAAAAGAGACATTCGCGGTATAATTGCAAATTTCGTTTTACAATCATCGGCTGTGTTATATTGTATTTTAAATGTATTATAAGTTACTTTAAATATTATTTACGAACGGAAAAATACGTCCAAGGTAGCCTAGTGGACATGGCACCTGCCCGGTAAGCAGAAGGTTGTGGGTTCGATTCCCGCCCCTGGACACTTTTATTTTTCCGTTTGCCATTACTCTTCACAATTCATCCCATCATACTTCATCCTTAAAGTTAGAAATAATCGTTATTTTCTTTAAAAAAAATAGATTTCGATTTTTGTTTAAAAAGAAACATTCGCGGTATAATTGCAAATTTCGTTTTACAATCATCGGCCGTGTTATATTGTATTTTAAATGTATTATAAGTTACTTTAAATATTATTTACGAACGGAAAAATATGTCCAGGGTAGCCTAGTGGACATGGCACCTTCCCGGTAAGCAGAAGGTTGTGGGTTCGATTCCCGCCCCTGGACACTTTTATTTTTCCGTTTGTCATTACTCTTCACAATTCATCCTATCATACTTCATCCTTAAAGTTAGAAATAATCGTTATTTCTCTTTAAAAAATAGATCTCGATTTTTGTTTAAAAAGAAACATTCGCGGGATAATTGCAAATTTCGTTTTACAATCGTCGGCCGTGTTATATTGTATTTTAAATCCATAATTGTACCTGAAGAAAATTCCTACAACATCAGTAGCTTTTTTCGGGAAGATGACAAATTTATTTCTCAATATTAAGTATTCCTTAAAGGTTACCTCTTTCAACTTTCTTTCTCTTTCTTTCACACATTCAAGAGGAGACTAAAATATACAATCTGAATTCTCTTTCAAGAATGAGATAATTAATAATGCCGAAAAAGATCTTGAGAGATCAGACTGGTGTATGAAATTTGTTCCACTCTTTAAAGAGTATCAATGTTCATAGGATGTACTACAAGGGTAGGCTGAACGGCTCAACGAGGAAAGGAAGACAGATCGACATGGAGTACTCTAACCTGGCATCGAAGTATTTCGAAGACAGGTACGAGAAGGTGGTGTTTGTGGCAATGAGTGACGACCGAGTGTGGTGCAAGAATAACTTCGCCAACAAGTCCAACGCCGTCCTTGCTCCAACGGCGTCTAAACCAGCCGTCGACTTGGCGCCGATCTCCCGATGTCACCATCACTCATGTCCTACGGCAGCTTCGGCTTCTGGGGCGCCTACCTCGGAGGTGGAACCATGGTGTATTTCGCGGACTTCTTCTCCCCTAACTCTTCCTATTTGCTCCAATTGACGCATTAAAATGCCACATACCTCCTTTAGTAGGTGGAAATCTCGGCTACACCTCCTGGCTTCTGATATACTTCTTTCATTTCTTTACCATCATACCAATCACACACCAATATTTAGTATATTTATTGAATTTTTAAAATTTCATATGAGCTAACATTCATATATTTCTAAAAACACACACCCTATATATTTAGCATTATTAGCATTAGCATACACTTCAATATTTGAAATAGTTTCCCTAGCAGAGTCCACAAAATCACTTTTAAATATTAAATTAAAGCTATACGCAATGTGAATCTTTATTATTAAAATTGGGAGAGCTTTCAAGCCAAAGAGGCTTTTGTTCACTGCCCTAAATATAATAATTAGATTAATTGAGCCGAGCAGCCTACAAGAAAGCATTATATACACTATGTGACACTGAATTATTGGTGGGAAAGTTGTAAAAATCTGCATGTAGAGAGCACCAGTAACGATCAATAAATTATTTTTATTAGAACAGAACACACCTATACAATGAAATATATCGTTGTCCATTCAATATGTTTTTAGAACAACGGTGGGCGTTATGCAGGCAGCATGGTACTGAATCAATGAGCGTGCGGATGGTGTCCTGAGATATGCTGCCAATTCCCTGTCAGCCTTCAGCCACAGGTCATTTTCTGAACGCAACTGAGGAAGCGCACGTAAACGACGTTTAGTTAGGTCCAAGTCGTGTTCTATTGATGATATCAGGAAAGACTAGTGGCGATGGAAATACCGAGATTTCATGGAGGGCATGTTGGCGGATGCGGGCTGTGTGAGATTCGGACGTTATCCTTCATGAAATTGGCATTTGGTATCCATTGAAAATGGGTAAGGCCACCAAACGCAGCACGTCATTCACTTATCGTTTGGCAGTCATAGTACTCTCAATATGAATCAGAAGCGATAGCTCTCCAAACCATAATGCCGCTTTGACGTGAGGTGCTGCGTTCCACAGATACGGCCGGATTAGATCTGTCACCAAGACCGCGCCAAATTTTTACTAAGTGTCTACCATTACTAAACCTGACGCGAGATTCATCTTAGAGCACTCTCCTGAGCCATTCCGCTGTCTATGTGGCTGTATCTCAACAAAACTGAAAACGTATGTGTCTGTGCCGTTTGGTCAATGGCAGCCTTCTTAACGGGAGCCATGAGTTTAGGCTACCAGCAACCAATTTTCGCATAAGGGTTTTTGGTCGATATGGAGGACTAAAGAGTGTCCTGCACATCCTGGAAATGTCTATAGAAGTGGACTGTGGGGCCACCAATGTCACCCGCGGATGCGTTGGTCCACGCGTACTGATGTCACTCTGGCAGTGCCAGCATCCCTCAATCATGCCTCATGTCTTGTTTCAATCATCTTCGCCATAGCCAGTGAACTGTGGACGCAACCAGGGGTGTCTGTCTGTAGAGATTTAACGTATGAACCAACCGGACCTTCTGAATCCAATCAATATTCACATTTTATGATGTGAGACCTACTAAGACCTATTCTCCTCTATGGCCATTGAATTTTCATTACAGCATCTGAAACCCATATAAAAATACAAGAAAAATTCAAAAATGAATTCATTAGAAAAATTACAGATGTACCAGGGTTTTCATAAACAAAATGTTAAGAAATTATCTCAAGATCGAAAATATCAAAGAATATATTGTTACGTGTAAGGCCTCCAAACGTTTACAACCTCCGCCAATAGATGGCGCTTTCGGTTAACTGTAAATACCCTTTTATGCTGGCCCCAGGATGTAAAATAATGTAAATACACATTGTCTATTATCTCATTTGGATGTAATGTTTGGTAGTGGATGACAATAAAAAGAGTGCTTCAAGTCTACGTGCCGCCTTCTGTCGTTACTCTCGCCATTACCATCATCGCCAGGCTGCTGCTGCTGCTACTACTCTTCTGGTAATTCTTTCGTGTCCCCCCACCAGTGGTGAGGCCGAGAGATACTGCCAGAGGAAGGGAGTTTCCACTGGAGAGGTGGAACTCAGGACGTCTTTGGGTGGCCTGCGGGGAAAAGCTGAAGGGGAGAGCAACGAGAGCCTGAGTAGGTGAACCACGAAGGAGGAAGCGGCGTTGTCGCAAAGAACCGGTAGGGTCCAGACGCGACAACTGGTGTCAGAAGCGGGATTCTTCCTCGTGGGGGTCACCAGGAGGCTTTTTCTTTTAAAGTTTTTTTTTAGTTGCTGAATAAAAGGCACATTGACGTGAGAGGCCAAGGGATGGCCTCTGAGCAGGACTCGTTGGCCGAGATCGACCGGAGGCTGCAGGAACACCGGAAGGAGTGGGACAAATTAAAGCGCCGAACAAAGGAAGAAAGACTTCGGAGAGAAAAAGAGTTGAAGAAGGAAGGCGTCATAGAAGAGAAGAATGGCTTCTGTTAGAAAAGGAAAGTGAAGAAAGAGGGATTCTCAGAAACATAGAAATTGAGAAGCTGCTGTCTCAAATGAAGGCCCACTTGCAGAATGAGACAGGTACGGCCGAGACAGCTTTGAATGATGTCAGCGAGGACCGGGCAGAAACCCGAGGACTGGAAGTCGAGCCGGGTCACATGGGGGAATTGCGTGGAGTGGAGGGCCTGATTGAGGAGCCTCCTGGACAATCCCAGAATCTGCTTCACGCGGACCCGCGAATGAAGCGGCCCCAGCGAGGAAAGCGGTGCCGGCGAAAGAAGCGGTGCCCTCGGGAGAAACGGTACCGGCGAGAGGAGCGGTATCGGGGAGAGGAGCGGTTCCAGCGAGAGGAGTGGTCCCGGCGAGAGGAATGGTCCCGGCGAGAGAAGCGGTACCGGCGAGAGAAGCGGTCCCGGCGAGAGGAGTGGTCCCAGCGAGAGGAGAGGTCCTGGCGAGAGAGGTGGTCCCGGCGAAAGAGGTGGTACCAGCATAAGAGGCGGTGCCAGCATGAGAAGCGCCTCCGGCACGAAAAGCGGTACCGATATAAGAAACGGAATCGGCATAAGAGTCTGAGTCAGCATGAGAGGTGCCTCCGGCGTGAGAGGTGGTTCCGGCGGGAGAAGCGGTACCGGCGAAAGGGGCGGCTCCGGCGAGAGGGACGGCTCTGGAGAAAGGGGCGGCTCCAGCGGGAGAAGCGATCCCGGGGAGAAGGACGGCTCCGGCGAAAGGGCGACTCCGGCGAGAGGGGCGGCTCCAGCGAGAAAGATTGGCTCCGGCGAGATAGGCGGCTCCGGCAAGAAAGGTGATTCCAGCAAGATGGGTAGTTCCGGCAAGAGAAGCCGCACCAGCGAGAAGCGTGACATCGGGGCGACGGGAGCGATGAGGCCGGATCGGGACGATCCGCCTTGAGGGGGAGGCAGTGTTACGTGTAAGGCCTCCAAACTATTACAACCTCCGCCAATAGATGGCGCTTTCGCCTGTTTCCCTTGCTGGCTGATGTGGGAGTCGCCGACTGCTGTGGTCCCGTTTCCTGGGGAGGTTAACTGTAAATACCCTTTTATGTTGGCCCCAGGATGTAAAAAAATGTAAATACACATTGTCTATTATCTCATTTGAATGTAATGTTTGGTAGTGGATGACAATAAAAAGAGTGCTTCAAGTCTACGTGCCGCCATCTGTCGTTACTCTCGCCATTACCATCATCGCCAGGCTGCTGCTGCTACTCTTCTGGTAAGTCTCTCGTGTCCCCCCACCAGTGGTAAGGCCGAGAGATATTGCCAGAGGAAGGAAGTTTCCACTGGAGAGGTTAAGCTCAGGACGTCTTTGGGTGGCCTGCGGGGAAAAGCTGCAGGGAAGAGCAACATGAGCCTGAGGAGGTGATCCACGAAGGAGGAAGCAGCGTTGTCGCAAAGAACCGGTAGGGTCCAGACGCAACAATATTATAAAACAACTACTTCAAACGTCCTTCC